TCTAAAACCTGGTATATAACACTTTTCCCCTCATTTGTATAAAACTAAATGGAAAACCACAAACTGAGAATTTTACTTTGTCATTGTTTTATGGATTAAGTAGCATGTGCAGTTAGCTGAGTGTACATCTAAAGCATGATAACAAAAACTAACTACAGCACACTTGTTTCCAGTCTTTGCGCTAAGCGGAGCTAGCTGCCAACTCCATATTTAGCGCATAGTCATGAGAGGGTAAAATGTTTTTTTAAAATTTAACTTCTCGTAGTATGCAATGCAGGTCTGACATTGCTCAGCTTTAGTACATTACAATAAATATGAGTCACTGTTGACTGACCAACCTGTACATCACATTCATTATGTTAACTCTCCAGAGTAAAAATAACATTTCAATGGCGCTTTTCATTGACATGAGAACATGACATCCCTGTTTAGTGACAACCTTCTAATGACCCAGTGATGACCCATGACCAGCAATCTGCCATTTCTGAACATGTCATGAGCAATTTTCCTATTAGACAAGTATCTAAATTATAGGCTACTACATTGTTATTGTATAATATCTAAACTATCTTTAGTGTTATATTTTTGTTATCAATTGATAAGTTTTACCTTGTCCTTTCTACAAAGAACCTACATTACATAAGACAATCTATTCATTAATTAACCAACTGACTTAAAAATTGAAGTCATTTTTTTCATCTAATAGTAATTTCTAACCATATACACATATTAACGTAAAATGTTGAAATCAGCAAGCACGAGCAAATTTTATGATTCAGAACTGCCATTGTCATATTTTGCAGATGTAATAAAAAACTAATTATTAATCCATAATAGCCATTCCAGGAAATAAGTTTATTTCTGGCTGGACGTTTCAGCTCTTGCTGTGGTCAGTGTATGGAAAATAGCATGATGTGTTCTTTATAGATTTTGCCATGTAACTCAGACAGCTGCTCCCCCATTTACCCTGCAGGGCATAGCTACTGTCCATCAGCACACACCACAGTAAACATCTTCTATTTCCTACTCTACCCTCTGTCACTGTAATGAAATGCTGAGAGTCTTTGTAGCAAATGCACAAAACCCTCCTGATCAAATCACAATGTAGTCTTTCATCCATTCAGCTGGAAATAAGGAGTCAAACATGTTACATTTAGTCCCCCCTATGAGTTCTTGAGCAGCAGTGCTGCTGCTGTGTGCCTGTCCACAGAGGTGCAATGCCCCCCTCTTTTGAAAATAACATTTGCACCTTAATAACCCAAAGAAACCTGCTCTCATTAACTACAGAAGGTGACCAGTTAGCATCCAAATTAAAACTGACGTTTTTAACAAATTAAACATTACATTAAACGTTTTAGGCATAGACCTCAACTCCTCAACTCCATTAATGTGCACATGAATCGAATGTGATGAGGCATTCATTTGCACATCATTTGTGCATCCAAAACAAACAATTTTGTTTCATTAATTTTCAAGTTATGGAGAATTACATGTCGGATAAATAAACTGGGATAACTGGAGAAACAGTGAAACACAGACATAATAGGCCGATGCTTAAAATTTTAATATTTAATTAGAAATGGTACAAACAAATGTTTATTTTGTGTGAACAACAATTTGAAATAGTTTTATTATTATTATTAACATTATTCCGGTCACACTGGGTACCAACATCATAGATATTTGCACAAGGTTTGGTAGTGTTGTCTACAAATGTCAGTTAATTCTGTAAACCATTGTACTTTTAAAACATTATTAAACCTCAGGTTAGATATGTTGAGCCTATTCCACAATAATAGTTTTTTACACTTCAGTCTAAACAGGCCTTGTATTAGCAAGCCAATGTTATTTTTGTCAGTTCTATAAGTTACACGAGGCCACTATGTGGTGTAAAGATCCTATTTCTACATTAAGAACTAGCATAAAATGCTACTCAAACCACCTCAGAGGTTTCAGGTGGTGTTTAGGACGTTAACAAGCTGAGGGTATGCAGTCCCTACTGGAATAATGCTTAATTATAAACATTTCCTGGCAGTCACATAACCGCAAGGTACTTCATTAGAAAGTGCATAATAAAGACTTGTTTGCATGTAACTACAGCACAGGTAAAGGATTTTGCCAATCCAAATTCAGGGGCACAAAATGATTTCTTCCACTAGCTGAAACAATCACCATATATTGACTGGTGTAAATTGTGAAGAATACTTAGCCCTGGATATGTATTATTGTCACATTAGGATCAAGTCAAGAATCTGTGATTAAATATTTTTACAGAGCAGCATGAGCAGTGAGTATGTGAGAAACTAGGACAATATGTTCAAAAACAAGCTTGATTAGACTTGTAAAACTGTAGATGAGGACAGAGCAGGAAAGGACGATGTGACTGGATGATGGATTTACCTTCCTGACTTTGTAAATCTGCATAAAGGAAGTAGTCGCAGATGTTGTGACAACTTCTTTCAGACAGCACAATTAGCTGCAACATTCCAAATTGCCTTCCAGCTATGGAAGGAAATTCCAGCTTTGTGTAACATCTCTTTATGTTTCCTGTCACTTGCTATTACCTAATACGAGCAAAAGTCATCATGTAGATGTCAGATCACTATTTGTAGCCCTGTGTGTTCTTCAAATAGGGCTGCAACTTTTGAACAAATCTGGTCTGCTGTGGTCTCTTTATAGTTAATGCTACCAGACCAGGTTTTGACAGTATTTACTGTAATGTCTAGTTTCTGCCTGTTTTTCTCAGATGACCACGGAAGATTGTTTTGAACTGAGGTGTTCTGCTCTCCAGGGTTGTGTATCCACTGTGCTGTCAAAGAGCCATTCCAGGAGGCCAGGCATCAGCCCTCTAGCCCGCTGCATAGACACACTATTGTTGATGAGCTCAAGTCCATCTCACACACTGCATACCAGATTCCATCCACAACCTATCTCAGAATGCTGCACCTCCTGGTAATCTTGGCAAACCCTTGATCTCTGTAAACATTAGACTGCTGTGTTATCACTCTAGAATCAAGAGACTTGCAAAAACTTGTATTAAATTGATCAGCATGTAACGAGGGATGTTTCAGTTGTTCAAAATAATTACTGATTACGGAGATGAAGGAACAAGTTGTGGTTTACACCATTTGACTTGCATCCCATTTGGGAAGAAAATAGGAAGTTAAGCATTTTTTTTTACTGAACAGACAGAGATTTGCACTTAATAACTGTTTTCCAAACATAGTTTTCTGAAACTTTATCTTTTATGAAAATCACTTTTGTTTTTATTAAAAGGTTTATGAAAGTATATGTTTCACACTTTGCTTTTCACAATCACACTTTAACAGCAAACTGACAGTGATCAGTACTATGGCACCTTTCTGATGTCTTTCGACTTCTGAAAAAAGCATTTTTGTATATTGTTTAAATTTCACAGGGCTACGGATGCTCCTGGTTACATATGGTACTTTGAGATATTTTAACAAGCTGCTGCTGCTGCTTTATGCTTCTGCAGCACTTCCTGTGAACCTGAGGTTGTGGAGGTACTCATTATATTTATGTACCACAGCAGATGTAAAACCTTGTACAAGACATACTGTATGTTCAATTATTACTGTGCTTGAACAACTAGCACCGGATTGTAACAAAGCCGTAAATGCATTTATAGGACAATTGTTTATATGCTTAATTTCCCCCAAAAAGAGAGCCAGCTAGGCCAGAGATATAGAGTGAGCACACTGCAACAACATAGTAGAAAAATAGGATTTAAAGTGATGAACTGACAAAGCAGCATATTTTTAGTTCTTGCCCTGTACAACATTTGGAGCAACTCTCCAAAAACCCTCCATCTACACTTCTACCATGGGATTAAGTTACAGGATGTACTTCCTGTGTAATTTGTCATTCCTATATGGCTCATTCATTTGTTTGTGATAACAAAAATGAAATAGCTGTAATGGAAATTGGAATGATGCAATTTAATTCAATCCTCTGCGAATGTTTTTATCCCATAGTTCAAGTATTGACTAATAAACACAGTCAGCAGTGGTAAGAACCGCACAATAATGCAACCAGCACCTGACTTCTCAGCATACAGTAACATCATTTTGTGAATCATGACCCTGAGCCCGAATATGGGAGTGAACTTCAAAACATCAAATGTCCACTTTTAATAACAACAAATAAAGTCCTTCTTGATATTTTTCACAAGGAGAGATAGGTGTAAATGAGCTGTATGGGTTTTTCAAATGCCCACCTCCCTTCATCTTTAGTTTCTGTTCCACTTATTCTCAGTTCTCTGTCTATTATGCCATATGAGAGTTTGTTTCATCAGCCTTCCCAGAAACACTGTAACATACATTTTTATGTACATTAGCCTACTAAATTAAAATCTTCTCAACAGTATTTGTCGACACCTAACACCTAATTTTATCAGAGATAAACTGATTGATTGCCTGCTCCCAATGGGTGCTAACAAAATATATATGTTTTTTTTTTTTAAAGCCAGGCTATATCCATTACTGCTAGCAGTATAGCCTACTGCAGATATAAAATCTGAATAATTTAATCTTTTTAAAAAGACAGGCTAAGGTGACATGCATTTTCTTGCTGAGGATATGCAATACAGTTAGCTTGGAAGTGGGCCTTTCAAATCCCTGTCCGCCTACTGTTCCTCCTCTTTGTAAAGTTTGTGTTATCATTATATATTGTTTGTTGGTAGGGTTACATATTGAATACAATACGTTCTTCTTTCAGCTTTAATTTAGCAGCACACCTGTAGTAAAAAAACAACTAGTCATAGTCCCAAGTCATTTTGTGCCTCTTTTACTTAATAGTTTATCCACCTTTCGTAGTAAACCAGCTTTTTCATGAACTTTCCTGCAGTTTGGAGACTGACACTTGTAGTCCACATATGGCGTCATTTCTAACGTGCACAGTGTTTTCACAGTGCTGTGATCCCCATGGCCCCTGTACGTTCAGTAGCGTGCTAGCTTGTCAGAAGTCAGAACAGAAGCCTCCCCCCTTCGTTTGTGTCTTACGTAAAACGCAGCTATTATGCGATTTGCTGTAACCAGCCCTCCCTCCTCGGGGGTGACATATTACTGGAGTTTGCAGGCGGAGCCGGTTTCCCTGAGAGATAAATTGTGTGTGGCACAATTGAGGAGTCGGGTACTAAACTGTCCTTTTTCGTTTCCTGTGAGGAACAGTTAGCAGCCAGAGCCAAAGCTACCCGATCCAAACTGTTAAATCCGGTAAACCGATAAAAGGGGGATACTATTTGGGAGTTAACATGTCGGCAAATAAAGAGAGTGACGGCGGATGGAAGAATTTTCTGTGGAATTCAGAGAAGAAGGAGTTTCTAGGACGAACAGGGTGTAGTTGGTGTAAGTAGTTACTCGTTGTCCTTTGTTTTACTAAATAAACAAGCTAGCAGCTGTTTACAGACAAACTACAGTTTGGCTGACAGAGAGAGAAAAGTGTCGGTGCTCTGCGTTTGGCTCTTTTTCTCCATTTCGTGACTGCAGGCTGATGGCACCTGTTAGAGCCTCCGACACGCTGCGTCGTGACTCGGGCTTTCACTGGAGGCGGTGTGTACAAGTTCTGTTAATCGGAATAAACCCATTGGTCAAACCCCAGACTGTCTTATCTGAAAGAGTTAAGCCCACTGGACATTCTAACGTGCAGGCCGAGTGTAGTCACAAATACGGCTAATTCTAAGAACAATAAAATAAAATAAAATGAACACGACCTCGCGCCATAAAGGAGTAAATTGTTCCCATTAGTAGACGTTTGTGTTGGCGGTTTAAAGTTAGCTCATATGATTTTGACAGCTAGTTTTATGGTTAATACTTTTCCACAGGAAATGGTTACTAAGGCGTAGCCCATGTGGGCCATTCATTAATAAGCGCCCTTTGCTGAGAGGTCAAGGACAGTTTGTGATGGGCCAGGACGCTTCACTGACGTTAAACAAATGGCTAAAGTTGTGTTCGGCTGTTGAATGCCTCAGTGACCCACCTCCCTCCCAGAAGAGAAACAGAGGACATTTTATTCCCCTCAATACTAAGATGAATGGCTAATCTCTGGCTGCCTATAAACAGGCTCGGTTGTCCTTTTCCCTCCTTCACTCAAACCCAAGATTAATAGATGCAACTCTTAATGGTTTTACCGCTGTTTTCAGTACTTTAATACGGGGAGATGCTATGGTCAGCACTGGTCGCTGACCGGCCGGGATGATAATATACCCGATAAGCCCACTAACCCGTTTTACAAAGTATTTATTGAAAGGAGATATTGATCGACATGGTTTGCGAGCTTGAAGCTCTTTCCTCAAAGCTAATCGTTTGTTTCCGAGAAAGGCTCACTGTCTGACGAATAATCACAGTAATGCTGCCATGATAGTGCGGTCTCAGCCGCCCCGTGCTCGCTAATGGCGAGTTCTTGGCGAGTTTACAGAAGCTACTTTAAGGTGAAACGTTTAAATCACCGCACATAATTACTGTAGTGATATTTCCCGGTGTTGTAGTTACACTGTTGGTACGTATTTGTTAAGGTTCACTGACGGTCTTGTTGTGAGGGAGGGTGATGTCGCACTTAAGTAAAAGTGAGCGATGTTGCTATAAAAGCAACAGGTAACGTGTGTGTGTGTGTGTGTGTGTGCTTGGCCCGCTGAAACCATGTTGGATTATCAACACGCCCAGATAAGAAGTGCTCATTAATAAGGTTTAACGATGTTTGAAGGGAGCTATAAACTACTAATGCAGTTTTCAGTACGGGAAATAAAGGAAATGACGAGCGACCGTGTCAGACGACCGCGGCCATTTCTCCCGCGGCACAGCGGTTGCGTGCTCGACATTTCGTTTTACACAGTTGAGTGTTTAGAGAAGTAGCCAGGAACAACATCAGTAAAAGCGGACTGTCGCCAGTGTGGTGTGACTGTGTTGACGGTCCCTCCGCAGCACGTTGCAGACGTCTGGTGGGGGAGGCGCTTCCCATTCAAACTGCCTGTCACCACTACCAGCAGGCCGCTGTCTGTGCTAGCCACATCGTCGCTTCAGAATCGGGCTTGTACCCAACGCGCCCACGTGTACTCGCGCAAAACTAATACCCGGTTTTTAACAACAATCTTAGCCTAAATCGAACAGTCACTGGCAACAGGAAACACTGGTTCTAACTTCCAGTAGTCACACACGTGTTTGCCTCGTTTTTACCTGCATCAGTGATGTTTTGCAAACACTAACTTACTCACACATAGGCCATATGCGGAATAACACAATTCTATGTTTTAGATGACTCATTTTAGACATCACCACACATAACTGCAATCCTAGCATGAGTAGTCCTGGCTGACAAGGCAGGCAGGCAGTTTGTAGTTTCCCTTTCAACAGGTGCATCACAGCTCACCACACACTCACATTGGCAGCATGTGCTGTGACAACCTGTAGCCATGTTGGAACCCTAAGGTTCGATTCAATGCCACCCAAAAGAACAAAAAGTTGTTTTTGTGGGACCTTTTTGGTTAAACAACAGACTACGGTCAGTTTTGATATGAAGTGAATGTGCCAGGTGATGTGAGAATGAGTACCGCCTTTATTTTGCCAAAAGCAGCATCACTAGTTTTAATTCTCTAAACAACTGTTAGCACGTGGGAGAAAAACAAGAAACCCCTTGAGAACTAGTTTAAAATGTAACCATTATGCAAAAGAGGGAGGGCTGCAGCTCCAGAACAAGATGAGCCACTAGTCCCTGCTGTCAGCACCACAGCCACCTCTCACACAGACCCTTCCCCCACTGTCATCAAAAGCACTGCCCTCACTTACTGAAGAGGGTCGCCTTTCTTTCTCCTGATTTATTCAGGCCATTGCTATAGAAAGCATTTCTTGGCGTTATAGAGATTATAGTTCAATTCTGCTGCAGCCCACAGATAACTTCACTGTCCTCTTTTTGTAGCAGTAAGTGTAGTTCATTTTAAATGTGCCTCTTGGACTAATATGAATATTCCATACATTAGGTGGTTTTGGATATTTTGGATTTATGGACCGTTATGGAAGATTCTGCATTTTCTCTTCAAGACTACTCAAAGCACTTCTGGCTTCTTGCAGTGTCAAAGAATCTCATACAACATGACAGATTTTTTTAAATCACTGACATAGCCGACAGTGACAGCTGTCTTCTGCTACCATACTGTGTCAGATTCTGGGCTCTGCTTGATCATCATCATCAGCGTTCCCACTTCAGATGCTGTTTTTGTGGCACCTTCTCAAAACATCTTTCTGCTGCCATTTACATTTTCAGATTGGCCACTGTGAAACTGGTTTTGTTGGGTTGGTCACATCTTCATCGCTGCAGCCTTATCTCCTGCCACAGGCTGGAGAGGTCAGCAGGAGATTCAGTTGGCTCACTCTCCGGGTGTTACTCTGATCTAAGGAGTTTTGCATTTGCAACATTTTTAGTCTATTAATTGATTAATGTTTAGTAAATGAAATATCCAAGACGTTAAAATGCTCAACAGTTTCCCTGATCCAGTGAAGCAATTAAAGCCATTATCATTACAGCTGCTGACTAATCAGTTCATGTAGTTCTTCTTACAGCTCTAATTATTTTACATTAGAAGACATGTGCTTTTTTTCTTTCCTACAGTTAAAATCCTCTTGTTCTATGTGATATTCTACGGATGCTTGGCAGGAATTTTCATTGGAACCATTCAGGCAATGCTGCTTACACTAAGTAACTACAAACCCACCTATCAGGACAGAGTCGCCCCCCCAGGTAAATATAATCTAAACCTTTTTTTTATTTTTGTCTTTTTGAGTCAACTGTTGTAAGGATGTTTCACCAGCTCAAAACAGCTGTAAGACCATGATCATAAATGTCTCTGTGATGATGTCTGTGTTCATGCAGTTAAAAATGTCTGCTGTGATGGGCCTATCAGCAGCTACTCTGTCACAAGTCTTTCTGACCTTAGATAGGTTCAGCCATTTTGTCCTTCACTCCTCTCAGACAGTCAGTGGTACTGGGGAGCAGTCGTAGTTTACACCCATTGTGACTAAAACAATTCTGGTGTGCTATAATTATGGGTCACAGCTGACATTCATGTGTGTGTGTGGCAGCCAGCAGTTTGCAGTTTACTCTTTAAAAAAAGATTTAGAGTTGTCATGGCTGAGGGGCCTTTAAGCTTGTTTTGCATCAGATAAAGTCTAATCTATAATCTTGTGGGAACAACGCCATCATACCGCTACAGTCACATTACAGGCATTTTGAAATTTCCTGCAGGCTTGAAGGAGTAGATCTGAAGTGCCCAGCCTTGTCTTGTTGTGCCGGTACTTGTTTGCACAGCACATGCTTTAGCCTCGGCAGTATTTTTAGCAGCTATTGTACATCAGTTAGTTTTCCTATAGTTTTTTTTCTGTCAGCCGTCCACAACTGTTGACAATCAAAAAGTGGTCCAGCAAAGCAACAAAGTAGGGCTGGAGTGAGTTTCCAATGGGGGCATGATAAAGGAAGCAGAAAGTAGTTGGATGTTTTTTTTTTTTTTTCCAGAGTTCAAGCCCGCCTCTCACTCTGGGGCTAAAAGTTTCCATTGTGAGAGAGACACACGTGAGAGTGGATGGGTGGGGGCAGGGAACTGGTGAACTTTCACAAGCCTTCAGTGAAATTCATATGCTAGTTCTCCGTCTCCAGTGTGCACGTAACCCCAGTCATATTCATAACCATAGTAACAAATAAACAGATCCAACAGCAAAGTAGCGAAAGGGTTAATAAATGTTTCATTTCACTCCCTTTACCCCTCCCATTCTCCTCATGCCCTGGATCACTGGGACCTTGCACACAAGGTCTGTGGAAAACTACTGCTATAAAGAGCTGACAGACACCATCTGAGGAAACCCCAAAGACCCCACAGTGTGTGTTGTCCTAAGATAATAGACCAGGGACTCTGTCTGGGCCCTACAAAGAATAGCATGCAGGACATACAGCGTAACTTCCATCAACAAAGTCATTTAAAAACGTTTTATATTGTATGTTTTTCAAGTTGTTACATTTAAATCTTTTTAGCAGTACATTACCCTTTAGTTTGCATTTTCTTATCAAAAAATGTTGTTTTTCAGGTCTGTCACATACCCCACTCTCAGACAAATCTGAAATTGCATTCAATATGTCTGACAACTCTACATATAAGAAATACGTCGAGAGTGTGAAGAAGTTCCTTGGACAGTATGCTGATGATCTTCAGAAAGATTCAATGAAATATGAAGACTGTGGAGGCAAGTATAAGCCAGTCATACAGGGACTGTCATACTCTCTGGCTGATCCCTGATGGGTATGTAACAATCGTCAATCAAGATTTGTCACTCATACAGTATTTATGAATTTAGATTTATTAACAATACATTCTCATAATAGTGTAAAATATTCTATGTTCTCATTTCATGTAAAAACTAAGAATGTGCCTGGTAAACACTCAACTTTGTTTCTTGTGCGTTTCTCATGTACAATCATATGTCATGGTCTTTTTGGTCCCACTTGCAGACACTCCTCAGACATACAAGGAGCGCAGTCTTCCCGAAGGTGATACAACACGGAGGAAAGCCTGCCGTTTCCACAGATCTTGGCTGGGCAGCTGCTCAGGGGACAGCGACCCCACTTACGGCTTCAAGGGGGGAAAGCCGTGCCTTATTGTCAAGCTCAACAGGATCGTCAACTTCAGACCAAGGGTAGGTTTAATGCGCACTTCCAACATTATAGCTTTTGTCACGTTGTTCCTGAACTTGCTTCATTTCTTTAAAGGGGATTTCCACTGATTTTATGCATGAAAGCACGTTTACAGTATTACTACTCTTGTGAATAAAGTTGTTTAATGCCTTTTGTGAACTCTGATAAACTGACTCAAGTGATGTCACCTGAGTCAGTGTCATCTGGGCTGAAGGCTGTAATTTTGACGGCAAACAAAAAAAAAAAAAAAAAACCTGTGGGTTGTAGAAAGAAGTGAGCCTATTCCAATGCTACATTACTACTAATAATGATAAACTGTAATTACAAGCATCATACATATTCAAACATTTAACTTTCATAGTCACTTTATTTTATGAGCCGTTTGTATCAGGTTCCACTTGCTAATGATTGCTACAGTTTTGTAACAAAAACAGAAGTTGATGTAGGCTGTTTATCTGGCAAGATTATAAGGTAAGGGAGTAATGTGTGAACACTCCCAGTTCTGAAGAAGGGTTACTGACAGAACTCTTAGCAGTTCAAAGTTTAGAGTGAGAGCATTTTGGGTAATGCAGGTGCCAGGTTTTGACAAGGAAGAAGAATGCATGGAATAAGAAGGACAGTGTCTGATTCTCCTGTATCAGTTGTTATCCTGTTTGTTTTCAGCTGGTAATTGTGAGTCTAATACTGCTATGGGAGTGCAGTGTTATAGCAGTAGGGTACTCTTATTAAAGATGGGAAGTGGCATCCAGATACATTATACAGTCATTAATGTCCCAAACTGTATTATATCCTAGATTACTAATCAGAATATATCATTGTCAAAAGGTAACTGTTCTAAAAAACACCTTTAATCCCATTGAGATGCAAGAAAGTCACACCATGTAAAACCACATGTTGTTAGTTCTGTTGCCATCTGCAATCAAATGTAACATAACCACCTGCTCAGCATGTTGTTCATCAACCATTCTCTCTCTCTTCAGTCTCCTTCTAATAATGAGTCAATCCCAGAGGCACTGATAGGCAAATCACTGGCCAACCTGATCCCCATTCACTGCAAAAATAAGGTATGTTCAATATAATAGCATCTGGCCATGATGTCTTAGCATGACTATAATGCTGGAATATTAGTTTATAGCATTAATGCTGAAAAACAGTTAGATTTGAAGTCAAATTCAATTGTGTGTTTGCAGAGACAAGAGGATGAAGGCAAGATTGGAGAGATCAAGTACTTTGGCTTAGGCGAAGGCTTTCCTCTCCAGTACTACCCATACTATGGCAAGCTACTACACCCCGACTACCTGCAGCCATTGGTGGCCATTCAGTTTACCAACCTCACTATGAATCAAGATATGCGCATAGAGTGCAAAGTATATGGCGCAAACATTGACTACAGCGAGAAAGACCGCTATCAAGGACGTTTTGATGTTAAGATCACCATCACCTCGTGACCTCAGCCATGACGAGCACTTGTTTTTGAAAACTAAATGTAGAGAGAACAAAACAGATTAGATGAACACCACTAGTCTTTGAACATTCATAATATACAGGACCTACACTTAATCCATGTGCTTTACACTAGCTTTTCTGTGTGTTTCTTGAGGGTTAGAATGCAAACGAGTAGCAATAGCAAATATTTATTCTACTGAAAATGAAAATATTCCTTGAGCCATGGGATGCGTTCATCTGTTACTGTACAACCACAATTCCACTACTGACGCGTAGCAAGCCGTGTTTCTGTCCCCCAAGTATTTCATCCTAATGTGGTTTCTATATATTTTTTTCTATATATTTTTGGAGTGTCCAGTGCTGTAGTCTAGTCCTGTTGTAATCTCTTCTGTCTTATGTCAGCTTTAGCGGTCCAAGGTGTGCAGATGTGTTAGTTTATGTGAGTGTGTGGAGTGTGTGTTAATGTGTTCTGACTAACTGAAATACTAGCATGGTACTCTGAACCTTTAAGGCCCTTGTATGAGTAAATGGCTGCGCTCCACGGAATCTTTTTTTTTTGGATCTGTGTTCCTTTATCTAAGTTGTACGCCTTTTCTTTGTTGTTCACCTGTAGGATATAGTTTAATGACATTTCAGTTTGATACTCTTACATTTGCTCATTCTTAATTCATAGTGTAGAGCTCTGTGGGTCCAGCCTAGAAGACTGTCACCTCCATGGAAACAGCGGCAACCCAGTGCTTTGAAATCTGTTTTGCTGGAGACATCACATGACGTGATGCAACTTACTATTGAATGTTTTAGCCATTTTCATGGTGAAAGAATTTTATATTTATGCAGTTGTACATTTTTTTTTTTTCCAAAGTGAAATGTATGAATCCAATACCAAAGTCGCTGGTCAAAAAGTTTGAGAATATCAGAGGCAATGCAGTATCCCGTGTAATAAGATGTTTAGTTGGTGTTAAAATACTTAATTCAATGTTGAAAATCACAAAACTTGTCAAGACTCTGCTCTTGTCAGTTTATTTAATCTGCATAAGGCTGAAACAATAAACAGAAAACTGAAAAAACTGTGAAGTCTTTGAACATGGTGTAAAATACGTTTCCTTGTTTGCATTCATCCATCCAGAATCTTGAAGAAATACTGCACCTGGAAAAGAAAACTAATTACAGCACCGACTGAATTAAAATGTAACAACAAAGCATCAGCCAGCCATTGCTCCTGGATATCAAGAATAGTAAAAGTTAAAATCAATTGTCCTCTGGAACAGCCCTTTCTTGGTCACTATGTCCGAGTCTGGGGAAAATGGCAGTTCAACCGGCCACAGGCTAATGTTTAACAAGGAGGCATTTGTCCAGGCCACAGATCAGGAGCTTTCCTAAACAGTGACGCTAGATGGGTCAGACCCACTCCCTGCAAAACAATGGTTTTGTTTCAAATTCCTCTGCCATTCTTGTTCTCAAACCTAGTGCGATCTGAGGTTGCCCCAGCCCACAGAGCAGAGTCATGAGACTCGGCTTCACAGAGTCATGTGAGTTTTGTTCTTGGCCACGTGTGAGGTAACCACTTATGCATGGGCTGAGAGACTATGAAGAAACATTTGTATGAACAGAGGAACTGCACAGATGAAAAAATGTGGGTGTCCTCTACAGTAAATGGGGGTGTACAATGTGTGTGTGTCAGTGAAAAACCACCCACCTCTAGAACACCGTCCTCAGGGAGGTCTGTACAGTGGACTGCGTTTTTCACTTTGTCTTTGCCATAAAGAGCACGCAGTGTGGTAGGACGGAGATGCCGTGCAATTTCCTGGTGAATGAAAATGTCTTGATTATTGTTCCTTCACTGATAAATCCCTGACAAATCATCTCAATGGCATTCAACTTCAACATTAAACAACATGGAACGACACAACTATAAAGTTTATATAATAAGTTTTGAAACTGAACATCCTGTATGCAGTACAATGCAGACTGTTTACTCAGCAACTGAACATGTGCCTGTGTACAGGAAATGACAATGATACTCAGCAAACTTTTTACACAGTGAATCGTGGGAGATAGACTTCCACTGCCTCCTATTTACATTTTATTATGTAAAAAATGTAAACGTATAAATGTATAGTCTCAGTCTCTTATTATAATACAGGTCTTGATACCATGTTTTGTTTATACTGTATATTCTAAGTGAATTTCCTCTGCATGTTTAAATATTCTCTAAAGTTGTAGTTTTTAAAAGTATGTCACCACCCTACACACATTTCCATGTCATCCCAGTTTATGGCACCATTCTAAAACAAAGCATAGTGTCCAAACATGTTGTCATCACTATCCACTAAAAACAAGGTATGAAGACATTTTAGTAGGCAGCTTAACACAGCTGCTAAATCCTCCTTTGTTTAGCTCACAAACAGTGAGCGATTTTTCTCCAGGCAGCAGTGTGTGTCTGTTTCTTTCAACATCAGACACTCAAGGTCAAAGCCAGGCTCTCCTGCCCTCTGCTACTCTGCCTCTGCCTGCGGGAAAGGCAAGCCTCCCACAGAGCCCATTAGCGGGGACGGGACAATGTGAATAATTCATTCACCAAGACCACTATTAACTGTAAAAGAATGCAAAGATTATGTAACATATAGTATTTGTGTAAAGGTTAATACACTGGGAAAAGCAAATTGTGATATATTACACTGCTAAAAACACCTGACACTAGTATGTTTGATCTTTAATAAGCAGCCAGCATCAGAGAAAATACACTTAAAACTATGAAACCCATGAGAACTAAACACTGTAACTGAAAAGACACAATACAACAAGACAGAAATACAATTAACATAACAAAGGTTCCTCCTGTGGTTAGTGAGAGCACACACAAAAGGAACAAGACTCAAGGTTGTACACATCAACCCAACCTAATCTGCAAAGCTTTTCACTTTCTTTTAAAACAAACGTTTTGTGGAAAACCCTCCTGGCTTAAATGACCAATTATAACTAGAACATGAAAGAAAAAAAAATGTTCATTTTAAAATGAATCATGAGAAGTGTACATCACTGGGGAACTATGGGTCATCTGAGTTCATTTTTAGCTATTTTCCAATGTCATGTCCAATTTCATTTTGTAGCTATGCATTTGCATCAGTTGTTAACTAGGAAAACGACTGTGGTGCATCTGATAATTATAGTGGCACACACATACTACAGAAGTCTCAGAAATAGTGTTTGTCTGTTGGCTGGTTCATCCATTGGATGGGCTGACATGAACTTTGGTACAGACATTCCTAGTCTTCAAAGAATGACTCCTGGTTACTGCTGCCAGCTGACATCAAGTCAAAAATTGTATTTGTCCAATACCTTGGTTTATGACCAGTAACTGATGAATGCTAATCTGATGACATTCCCATTGATGGCAGCTGTACTTTGTGTTTTGTGCTAAACGGCAAATGCTAATATGCTAAGATACAAAGAAGAAAGATTAGTGCTTATGGTGAACATGATACCTGCCGACTGTTAGTAATGCCACTGTTAACATGTTAGCATTTAACTCAAAGGACCGCTGTGTCTGCTGACAGCATGAATACAGACCAAGTCTTCTTCTACTTCAATTCAGTGTCTTTATCAGTGATGAGTGGTACAGTGGTCAAACCATTTAGCATAGCAGATGTCTTTCTGATAAATTCTGATATTGTAGTCCAGTAAATCTGACAAAACTGATTAACACTACAAGAGGAGTTCACAAAAAAGGTTTCAGTACATTTTTAAAAAGATGTTATTGATATTTTTAAGTGCCATCATCTGGTTAATTGATGTAATTGTATGTATCAATCTGACAGTATCAATAAGAAAGAATGTGAACAAGAAACAGAAACATTAGCAGGGCTCCTACCATGGCCATTGAATTGTACTCAGTAAAATGATACAAGTGTGTTTAATCTCAGTTTGTCTGAGGAAACAAAAGACAACATCCTGTCCAAAGTATATGCTAAATTGAACCTGCTGTTTACATGTACCCTGCCACATGAGACTAAAGTCAAAGATGGCTAAGGGGGAAATAGAGGGAGATCCAATTCGAGATAAAAGAATTCGCTATGAAACTACATCAGCTACCTGTGTCAGTGTTTAATTTGATTTTAAGAAGCCCCACAGTGTGCTAGACCAATGTTCATGTAATGACTACTGCCTTCTGTGGACAATGATAGCTGGGGAAGAGTGACCCAGTAACCACTGCATGAGTGTTCAGAAATCGAAAATATCTGATCCTTCATGCACCACTGACCAACCCTGCTGACAAGAGGGAGACACTGAACTGATACATGAGTCCATCACACTGCACACAGACACAACTGCGGTATATCCTGCTGTGAACCAGCTTTATGAGAACTTAAGTTTAATTTGATATATAAAACTATGTTTCTTTCTAAACCTCCCTTCACTACAACCATATACACTTCATCAAATGTTGCTACTATCCCTGCCGTAGGCACTTCCAAAGCTACATACTAGTAGAAGTTAACTGTTGGCGACATTTAGAAACGACATATTTGTCAAAGTATGAATGGCTGGAGACTTTAAGTTGCATTTCCAGTGTAATCCAATGTAATTTCTCTCAGCACTTCACAAAAGAGGACAGACACCACAAAGATTATTTCAAGTCATTTAGCAATTAAACAGCAAAATAAAAGTACCACCTATATGTTGGACAGATGTCTTAACTATGAAAACACAATTTGGCAATTTTAATAATGTGTGGTTAACTTTCAACATTTTGATTTGGTGACATTGCCTGTTACAATTCTTAAAATGGTCTATAAAAAAATCTGAGTAAAGTGCATTTCTTGCCATAATATGTGAACTTTAAAAATATGTTGGACAAATGGTTCATACAACATTATTAATAACCACTGCATCTTATATTTGCTTGATCAGAAAAACTATACAATATTTCTTGTGTTTTTATTTGTTTTTTTTAATGAGGTAAAAAAAAAAAAAAAAAAACCTGCCAAAATATAGCTATATAAAGTTTCATGAATATAAAATGCCCCCAATGAGACAAAAATTAAAGCTATGTGGAAATTATTCATAGTTAATGTGACAGCAGTCATAGGTAATCACTGTAATGTTACAGAGCTAGGAGACAGCAAAGGCCACATCTACTAGTTACAATTTTCATTCTTAGGGGTAAGAGACTGATATTTTTCTTCTTCTCTAAAGCATTACTTACATGGCCCAAAAATCAATAGGAAAAACAGAGCTTTAACCAACACAAGGCAGAGCTATAGCTTCATGTAAAAGAAAGTCCAGGTGTATTTGATAATCTGACAAGGAAGAAGAATGCATGGAATAATCTCTTTCATTCATCATCTACTGGTAAAACAAGTGAGGCAACACAGCACGCTATGGTCACTGATGCTGTAACAAGCAGTAAAAGAGGTAAGCAGGAACTGGCTGGGTCACGACTGGCTGACAGAGAACCCATGTGTCTGTCTGGTCTCATATCAGGAAACGCCACAACCTCATGACTGAGTGAGTACAACAAAAAGCTGTGTGTGGATGTGTCAATGCATGAGGATCCTTATGGGTGAGATACTGTATAATGAGATATATGCCTAGTTAAAGCAGTTGTATATGCTGTGTCTTACAACCCCAAATCAGAAAAAGTT